TAGAAGAGCTTAGTCAAATAGTGCCTCCTCTGTTATCAGCACCTTTAATCCTACACAGCATTGGTGAGCAGAGTACTGGGTGCTGGGTGCCACATACCCTCTTTACTGTGCAGATTAGCTTTTTATTTCTTTATTTTTTACTTATATATGACAGCAGAATGCATTACAATTTTTATTACATATATAGAGCACTATTTTTCATATCTGTGGTTGTACACACAGTATATTCACACCAATTTGTGTCTTCATACATGTAATTTGGACAATAATGATCATCGCATTACACCATCATTAATAACCCCATGCTCTCTCCCTTCCCCTTCAACCCCTCTGCCCTATCTAGAGTTCATCTATTCCTCTCATGCTCCCTCTTCCTATCCCATTATGAATCAACCTCCTTATATCAAAGAAAACATTTGGCATTTGTTTTTTTGGGATTGGCTAACTTCACCTAGCATTATCTTCTCTAATTCCATCCATTTGCCTGCAAATACCATGATTTTATTCTCTTTCATTGCTGAGTAAAATTCTATTTTGTATATATGCCACATTTTTTAATCCATCATCTATTGAAGGGTAGTGGGATGACTCTCATAAGAAGTAAAATTGCTTGTTTTCTTATCTTTTTTTTCCAATAGACAGGAGATGATTAAGACATTATACTAGACATTGTATTCAGAATATCTGTAAAGTCAGAATGCTTAGCCACCCCTCCTACCCCCCACCCCTTGTTCTAAGTCTTACGGTTGAAACCCAGGGACCCATGCATGCCGGGCAAGAGTTCTACCACTGAGCTACATCCTAGCCATTTTTATTTTATTGAGACAGGATCTCACTCAATTGTCCGGTGGCCTCAAACTTGCAATCCTCCTGCCTCAGTCTCTTGAGTGCCTGGGATTAGGAATTATAGACCTATATCACCAGGCCCAGCTGTGTGGTTATTATTTGAAGTTTATAAACTAGAATTGGTTGTAATGAACAATAGATTCCAGGTTATAATATATGGAGACATATATTGCTTATATACTATTTTAATTTTTTCATACCAAATACAGATGATTAACTTTTAATCAGATAATTATCAGCATGAAGAATGATAATTTACTTTTAAAAAGTATTTCAATAGACACTAGCATTGCTGTATGTATACACATGGATGTATAACCAATGTGATCCTGCAACCTGTACACATGGAAAAATGAGAATTCATATCTCATTTGAATCAAACTTATGACATGTCAAGATCATTGTATTGTCATGAGCAACTAATAAAAAAGTATTTCTTTAATATCTATAAAAATGCATATAAATGTAAAAATGCAGTAATTTATACATTGACTCAACATATTATTGATAACCTATGATGAATCAGAAACAATCCTAGACTGTTAGCATGCATCAATGAATAACACAGGCAAGTCTTTTAACTCTCTGGTATCATTATTCTTCATGTTATACTGATTATATAAATTAGATAATTATTATTATTGTTTGGAATTTTGTTGTTCTTGTTCTTGGTTAGGTTGGTTTGTTTTTCATCTGTTGCTGCCATTAGTGCCCCCCGCCCCCCAGTGTTAGGATCCAACCCAGAGCCTCACTTATCTCATGCATGCCTAGAAAAGGTCTTCTACTAAGCCACATCCCCAGTCCCTCTTACATTAGTATTTAATGAAGCGTATTTTTGTCTGAATACATCTTCTCTCCCATACATTATCTTGAATTGCCAATTTTTTTTTTTAGTTTGCAAACCATTTTTATGATTACTCTTGGATTATTTTATCTTAGACAAAAAAAGACCAACAAATAAATAAGATAAAATAAAAAGAAAAAGAAAAAAATGAGGGAAAAAAAGATAAGATGAAAGTTTATGTTCATAGAGTCATTATGCAGATAAAGTCTTTCCTTTGGGGGGTCTGAATTGATAGTAAGAAAAAGCTATTTATTACTGCTTGAAAGGTGGTCTGTCATTACTGCTCTCTGGTTGTATTTAGTAAGCTGGTCCTTCTTCCTTGAGTCAATTTATCCATTGTCTTATTCCTAGTACTCATTGTAGGAGAGGAAAGGTCTTTTTGTTCCCCCCTCGCCCATGACTAAATTTATGGCTGAAGCACCTGTAACAAAAGACTGATTAATAAAGGAAAATCACATACTTCCATTTAATATAAGTTTTATGTGTCAAAAGAGACTTCATAAGAAAAAGAAGATCCAAAGAAGCAAGGAAATCCTTGTATTTTTATGTTTATATTTGTTAAAGAGTAAACAGTCATTGGGAAATACAATTGGTGTCAAGGTCATAACTAAATTATGGTACCCTGGCATACTGAATATTTTAGGCTAGAGGGAAATCAAGAAAACTACAGAAGCAGGCAGGTCTTGCCTGCCTCCCCTCTCCTTGGTTACATAGAAAGTAAAATTCTCCCTTTTTTTCCTACCTGATGCAGCCCATAGATTCTAGACTATCACTTTCTGAACTTCTCCTTCCCCTTCTCCCCTGAAGACCCACAGTTGACAGTGACCTTCCCTATAACCAGAAGTAGAGAATGTCATAAAAAGACAGAAAAAAATCTGAACAAACAGGAATTTCTGATCTCTCCTCAGTCTATTACCATTAGCTGCTACCCTCTTGCCTTTCAATCAAACTTCTGCATCACTATCCATAAAATCACAGTTTGTCTGTGTCTGTGGGTGTTCATTTTGGAAGGCTCTCGTGTCATTTAAAACTAGTATGTGGGCTGGGGATGTGGCTCAAGCGGTAGCGCGCTCGCCTGGCATGCGTGCGGCCCGGGTTCGATCCTCAGCACCACATACAAA